CTGGAGAGACTGTCTGGGCAAACGCCACCATGACGTGTGCGATTGTGTCGTCAGCATGTGCACTTCCAATCGTCTTGTCAGGATGGATGCGCCCAGCGGCCTGCAGGGTGGCAATGGCTCTCACATTCAGGCGGGACACGCTGGAGGATTGACGCTAGGGGCGCCATCCAGGAGGCTAGGGGGAGGCGTCGCGGGGTCGGCTGTCCGTTCCGCCCGCGCGCCGCCGCGCGCCCTCGGCGCCGAGGCAGACCTGTTCGGCTGGCGGCGCGCCCTGTTGAGAGGGCTGGAGAGTCAGCGGGGCGGCCGCTGGATGACGCCCTGCCCCGCCGCGTGGAGGCTTGCCGCGAGGTGCCGTGACCGCCAGCGGTCGGGGGCCCACGCGAGGTTGCCCTGTGGTCATCGGGGGAACGGTCGGATACCGATATGTGGTGGGCCTGCTCCTGGGTGGGTCGACGTTGCCCGGTCCGCGTGCCCCCAGGCAGGCTGCGGAGCCGCCGCGTGGCCGGCCGCGGGCGGGGGCGCTGCCCCGAGGGGAGGCGCCCAGGTCGGAGGTGCCCGCGGCCCTCGCGATCTTGCTGGGGGACGTCGGTCTTCGGCAGGGTGGCCCAGGCCCCCAGCGGGTCGTCGTCGGGAGACGGGACCGCTGCGCCGCCTCGGTTCCTGCGAGGTCCTGAGGCCGGGGAGAGGCGACCCCCTGCATATTTTGACCAGGTGGCGCTCCACTGCATGTTGGCGAACGCCTGCGCACGCTCACTGCCCATGGGGGCGGGAAGGCCACCCGGCAGCTGCACTGCTTGATTGGGAAGTCGCCCCGGCAGCGATCGCACTGGCAGTCCAGAAGCCGCGACTGAGATTCCTGCCGGACCCGTCGTCTATGGCGCGAAACGCGGGAACGGCGGCGCGCGCGCGCGGGCGGGGTCACGCGGGCCCGTCGGGGCCAGCAGGAGGTCTGCCAGCGGGGTGCTGCTCTGAACAGGGACGGCGGGGGAGCCTCCCGGAATGGGGGCCTGGCGGGGCAGCGCAGGCCAGGGCGTTGTGGACCAAGGGCGTCTAGGCGCGCTGGCGCGGGCAATCCCTTGACCGACAGGTTTGCGCGCCAGCGCCCAGAGCAGCGCCGGCGACAAATCGCTGCACCCGATGGCCCACTGGGGGGAGGCCCACGCCAGGCCCGAGGGGGGCCTGCGAGACGGCGCAGGCGGCGCAGCTGTGAGTTTGAAGGAAAGAAACGGCAGTGGGGGCGAGCTGGGCCAGGGCCTCCAGAGCGGGCCCCAAGAGAACATGATTGCGGCAGGCACCCCGTCCATGGCACGCTGGCTTGGTCCCCCTGCACGTTAGGAAAGCGACGCGCCACGGTGGCCAGCTGGGAGCGCGCCTCGACGAAGGCCCCCAGGCGCTCGCGGACCCGGCGGAAATCCGCGCCCGCGAGGCCGCGGGCACGACAAAGGCTGCCCCGCACCCGCATGCGCGCATGATTGTCGGGAAGTAGAATTCCCAGAGTGGCCTCGAGGATATCGACGATGTGGCTGGGGCTGCCACTGGGCCTGGGCCCCCTGATGAGGAGGAGCATCAGCACCAAGGTGGCGTGCGCCCGCGCGCGCTGGATGGCGGCCCCGCTGCTGCCGTTGAGCAGGCTGCAGGGCCCCTCGAGTGGCCGGTCCTGCTGGTCGGTGAGGGCCGCCAGGTGTTGCAGAGACGGGGCGCCCTGATGGCGAGCGCACTCGCGCGCGCTAGTGCCCCGCGCCGCTGGGGGGTGCCTGGCGGTGCCTATGGGGGTTGGTCAGCGCGACAGCTCCATCGAGAGCTGGATTTTTTCTCCCGCCGGGGGGGAGGCGGTCTTCTTCGATGGCTCGTTCGGGCGCAGTGCGAGGGTAAAGTCCAGCCACGCGCAGCAGACCTGCCCGCGCCGCTGCGCAGGCGAGGTCGGAGGCGTAGACGCCCAGCTCGTCTCTACGCAGGTAGCCGTCGCGACTGACCCACTTCCAGCACTGTTCGCAAAGATCTCTCGGCGAGCCCCCCGGGCCGCGCGAGCGGGGGCGCAGGCTGAGCGCGCGGCGCGGGGCGGGCGTTGGGGCGGCTTTCGGGACCGCCTGGGCCGTTTCCAACGGCTCTTCGCTCAGCCTCCCCCAACTAAGCTCTGGGGGGGGGGGGCGTGGAGTCACGCGTCGCCTGAATGCATGGAGGTCGCTGCTCGCCTGGCCGCTGAGCCTTGCCATTGTTGCAGCGCCGCCCCTGCTCGGCTGAAAGCCGGGCTTGCTCCTCCCGGGGGGGGGGGGGGGGGGGGGGCGGGGGGGGCGCGCGCCCTCTCGCGCCTCCCGTGCATGGGCGGGCGAGAAGCCGGTGGATTCGCGGGGCGCGCCGCGCTGGCCGGGGACGCCCTCGAAGCAGGTCCAAAGCCTAGCGGCTTCTGCCCATTCTGCAACGGGGCGCAGCTGGGGCTCGACGGCGGCAGCGGCCACCCGCGCGCTTAGCGCGGCGCTCCTCCTGCGCCCTGGCAAGGGCAATGTTGATGCGATGGGGGTCATAAAGCCCCACTGCCCGGTGGAGTCAGAGCGGGCGGTGCAGAGGATCACCAGGTCCGCCTCGTCACCATGGCTGCCGTCAATGGCGGGCGCGACGATCAGGCCCTGGTCGACCAAGCGACGGGGCCAGCGACTGGCAGCTGGGGGCCATTAAGCTCCGTGGGGGGAGCGCGACTGAGGAAGGCGCCTGCGGGGGGGAGGGGGGCGCGCCTCTTGGGCCGCCCATCCTGGGGCGCCGTTGGGAGGGGGGGGGCCCTGGACTGCGTTGGGGCGCCCCGTTCGGCGGCCTCGCCCTCGCCTATGCCCTCGCCCTGGTAAGCGCTGAAGAAAGCGCCGCGGTCGACAGGCCATCCTGCGCTAATTAGGGCCACCTGCGCACGGCACCCCCCGACAAGCAGGGCGCGCTTGCCTGACTCGAGGAAGTGCTCTTCCACGGACTTGACGATGTCACAGACGGCAGCCGCTTCCCTCAGGTTGGCTGCGCCCTCCACGAGGGAGAGCGGCAGCGCGGCGGCTTTCTCATGGGCCAAGAGGGCCCTGATCCTGTCCCCTGGCTGGGCTCCACGTTGGGCGTCGCAGAAGCCATGGGTCCCACTGACGATCGGGCTGTCGGGGCCGTCCTCTGCGGGGGGGCCCTGGGGGGTGGGCTGGGCCGGATTGGCCGGCCGCCAGGGGGCCCCTTTGGATGATAGGTCTCTACGCGAGTGGATCGATTAGACCAGACCACGGCGCGCCTTGGTAGAAGGCGAAGTACGGGAACTGCAGGATACTGTTGTGCATACGATAGCATATTATGAATAGCACTTTGTGTTGTGGCGAGGTCCACATTGAATCGTGGAAGCGCTCCAGCGCAGAAATGTTCAGGCCCAGCGCGCCCGCGCGGGCAGACAGCACTGTGGGGCGCAGCTGGTTTTCGTCTCCACATAACATCACGCGCCCTCCACTGCGCGCCGTGAGCGAGGGGAATGACGGCAAGCGGCTCGGTGGACTGCCCAGCCTCGTCCAGGATGGTGATGAGCAGCTTGGGGTTGTCAGGCGCGTCCAGCTCCGCACCTGCCTCGAGCGCGGCAAAAACAAGGTGCGCCTTTTCCAGGGCCTGCTTCCTCGCACACGCTACGCTAGCGACCAACACCAATCTCGCCGATGGCCACGCCATGTGTCTTGCTGTACTGTTGGGCGGGGGTCAGCTCGCGGGCCTCAGGGTTGGTGACCTTCTCGGGGTAGGCAAGACGAACCGCTGAGTCCGGAAAGCAGCCTACCTCGGTCAATATGCCGGCACCGTGGGCGTCGGTGAAGTGCTTGGCTGGCATGTCGGCTCCCTGGCTGGAGCCCGCGAGCAGCCCGACAGTCCAGTCATCCAGGGTGCAGCCCATCCAGAGGACGGCAAGCGCTGCCAGTCTTGGTTTTTCCCGTACCGGGGGGGCCGCGCACAATGAGCACCATCGCATCGAGGAAAATCAATAGCACAAGACTAGGGCTCGTTCAGACAGTGTTTCTTGGCAGCGTCCTCGGCTGTCTGCCGGCGAGGGGGGAAGCAGCGGTCTCTGAAATACGTTCCCAGGCCATTCGACCACTTCGGCATCGGTGATGGGCTGGGCCCCTGGGGGAGTAGAGTATCCGTCTGGGTCTGTGACCTGCGTGTTGAATGTGGGGGCTGCCCGTGCACGTAGTAGGCTTCCCATGTCCGCCCGACGGCTTGCGGAGTTGATGTTAGCCGTGTCCTCTGGGGGAACAACGCGGAACGCCATCAAATTTGGGATGACCTGGTGGATGGGGACTCCCGTCATGTCGTCAGGATGGGACTCAAGCGTGAAGAGTCGTTGCATTGCTGTCCACATCCTGCAGGACTGCTTTGGGCTTGGGCGCTTGTCGACCCAGCACCACGTTTCGCCCGGCGCCGGGACTGCATGCAGGGAGTCCGTGGGTTGCCGGGAACGCCCTTTCCTGGCGTCAATGGCAACGATGGTGCGGTTGGTGGGGTACCTGCTCTTTGGCGTGACGTCCGAGAGTCCTCCTGGGGAGGGCGGCCATATGGGCCTAACAGAACTGAGGAGCCCGGTGATGGGGGAGTGCCAGGGTATCAAGAGCGAGAAGCCCTCACACACAGACGCACAACCATACACACAACCCACCCACCCACCCACACACGCACACACACACAGACGCACACACACACACGCACACGCACACGCACACGCACAAGAACACGCACGCACACGCGCACACGCACGCGCACACACACGCACACACACACACACACACACACGCACGCACGCACGCACGCACGCACGCACGCACGCACGCACGCACGCACGCACGCAAACAAGCACACAAGCACGCAAGCATAACAATAAACGCCCGAAGCCCAGGGGAGAGAGGGAGAGAGGGAGGTGGGTGCATGGAGATCAAGCGCGCGGGCGGGGAGGGGCGCGGCCCGTGCCGGGCGGGGCGCGACAGAGCGGCGGCGGGGGGCGGGGGCACCGCGCGAGCGCCGCCGGCAGCGCCCCCCAGCGCAGGCAGCCGCGGAAGAAGGTGGCGAGGGTTCGGCAGTTGAGCAGCCGTCGCCGCGTCAGCCAGTCGAGCAGGTCGGCAGCTCGGGGCGGGCGCGCGGGGAGGGGAAGCCTGAATTGAGATTGCCCTGGGACGCCTTCACCCAGTTGGTGGGACCAGGGGCCTGGTGTACCAACATGGTGTACCGCTCGAGGACGGTGGAGGATATGTAGGACAACGACGGCAATCATTGCGAAAAGGAAGAGGTGCAGAGGGGGGAAGCAAGAAGAGGACACGAGGACGGTCAGCGTAGCCCTGGCCATTGCCCTCCCGTTCCCCACTTTCCCGCTGCGTACTCCCTTTCGATGCCCTGCTGCACAGCGGCAGCAGACACCGCGAGAACGAAAAGGACGAGGGGGCCCCCCTTCCCCAACCCCATCAGCCCTCCCACCCGCCTGGCTCGCCCATTCCGCCCTCTCCCAACTGCCCCCTTCTCCCACTCACTCCCCCCTCCCCTCCCGCTTCCAAATCACCCCCCTTCCACCCCTCGACTCCACGCCCCCCCCCCCCCCTCCCCACCCCACCCCCCGACCCCTCCTCGTCCACGTCTGTCCAAGCTGCCCAGTCCTTCATATCCGCTTCCCGCATCTGCTCGCTGCCACAGCTGCTGCTGATGCTCCGCCGCATCCTCACCAAACATGCCCACCACCACCACCACCATCGTCACCATCGTAACCGTTACCGTCACATCACCACCAGCAGCCTCATGATGATCATTATCAACATCGTCATCGACATCAGCATAGTCCACCGCAACCGCCCAGCATTACCATCGCCACCAACATCATCACCGTCACCACCGTCGATGTGACCCGCCTCCAGCTTATCCTGCTCCTTCTAAGCCTTCCAAGCCTCCGCCTCCTCCTCCTCCTCCTCCTCCTCCTCCTCAACATCCTCCTCATCGCCATCCTCGCCGCATCATCCTCTTCCTCCGCCTACTCCTGCGATTTGGACACCATTTCCTCGTCCTGCCCCGCAGCCTCCGCCGACTCCTCCTCCTGCCCCACCGTCATCTTTCCAGTGCCCCTTCGGTTCAGCTTTTTTCGCTCGCAGGCCCTGCAGCCTGCGCTCCTATGCTGGGTGCGAAGGATGCCCGCGCGGCACAGTTCGAGGGCTCGCGAGACGCGCTCCTCGCGGTGCACGTGGCTGCCAGGCTTGCTGGCCGCGCCCCCGAGGGGGGCCGAGAGCAGGTTCGCCTGCTGCGCGCGGCCGAATGCCTTCTCCGCACGGCCGTGGCCGCGCTGCGTCGCCCCCGCCCGACCCCGCCCCGCCAACGGCCGTGGCCGCGCCACCCGCTGCCCCTCGGCGGTGGCGCCGCCAGCGCGGGAATTTGCAAAGGCGGATGCTGGAGCAGCGAGGCCAGCCATGGGGATGGACGACAGGGAGGCCGAGGAGGTTCGTCCTTCCTCCTCCTCCTCCTCCTCCTCTTCTTCCTCCTCCTCCTCCTCATTTCCCTCCTCCTCCTCCTCCTCCTCCTCCTTCTCCTTCTCCTCCCCAGCCGTCACTCATTATCCTCCATCTTCTCATCGTCATTATCATCTCTCGTCCTCCGTTGCCATCCTTCTCCTTCCCGCTGCTCCGTTCATCGTTTCTCCGTCCTCCTCCTCCTCCTCCTCCAATCCCTTTTCTTCTAAATAATTCCTCCTTTCCACCCCACAGGCGTGTCGATAGGGCGGGCCAGGTGTTTCGCCTGAGACCTCCTCACCACTTGTGACCCTGAAGCTTGAATTTCATGGCCGCTGGTTTTCGAAATGCAGTTCTCGCCTTAGCGCCGCGCACAGTCGTCTGAAATAGTGCAACAATGTCAAAGATGCCACGCGATTGATCTTCAGCATGTGGCACTCACCTAAGCGCCACGCACATTCGTCTTAAAAGTTCGCAGCTGTTTCAAGAACGGAGGGCGGCTGGTTCTCGAAATATGGCTCTCGCCTTAGCGCCGTGCGCACTCATTTGAGAGCGACTTATTTTCAAGACTTGGCTCTCGCCTTAGCACCGCGCGCATTCGTGAATAAGCTCGCAACCGTTTCTAGGATTCGTATGGCTGAAGTCAAAAGAAGAGTGTTCCTGCACAGCTTGGGATTGCCCGGACGCAAATGTCACGTTGATTCGGGGTGTTGGAGTCCCACGAATGGTGATTTGGAACGGTTTAGGATTGTCAGGACGCAACAGTGAGGGTGATTCGCGGCGTTGACGTTCCAGGAACGGTGCTGTGGCACAGTTGGAAGTTCCACAACGATTGTCTTTCAATAGAGCGCCATGCTATGAAAAAGAATGAGTGCCTTTGCAGAGGGAGCATGGCGGGAAGGTTCACTGCAACATGGTTGGGGCGTCTTTGGTTTACTACTGGTCCTCATCCTCCTCCGCCTCCTCCTTTTCCTCCTCCGTCATCTCTCTCGTTCGTCCGACATCCTCCTACTCCCCCTCCTCCGCCCCCCTCTGCATCCTCTTCCTCGGCCATCTCATTCCTCCTCTTGTTGGCTGGACAACGCGGCGGGCTCCTTTCTCAGGGTCGCGGCCAGGAAACTCCACCCAGAGGCCCTTCAGCAGTGCCGTTGCAGCCGCCACCGGGGCTGCGGGCGGCGCCGGCTCCTCATCCATCACCTCCTCCTTCCACTTTTTCTCCCCCTGCTCCTCCTCATCCGCATCCCCTTCCACTTGCCACTTGCCATTATCTTCCAACTCCCCCATACTCTTCCTCCCGCTGTCTCTCCCCCTCCTGCACCTCCTCCTCCTCCGTAATAAATGCGAACCCCCCCATGCTTTTCATCCCACTCCGCAACATCGCCTTTCTCGCCCCCCCCCCACCCGCCCACCCACCGACCCGCCCCCTCCCATCCTACTCTGCCTCTTCCTGTATGTCTCTTCCTCATGCCCATACCCATCCTCATCCTGGTCCTCATCCCCCTCATCATCATCAACACTACTGTCACTCTCAATCCCCATTCCCTGAAACGAGAAACTCCTCCCTGCGGGGCCCCGCGGCCTGTCGGTAGGGCGGGCTGGGCGTTTCGCCTCAGACATCCTCACCAGTTATAATCTTAAACATTTTCACGGGTAAATAGCGGACCGTTTTCAAGATGTGACCCTCGCCTTGGCGCCGCGCACAATCGCTGTAAAGCATGCAAGAGTTACTGATGGAGGGGGTGTGATTTGCAAAATGTGGCTTTCGCCTGACCGCCGCGCACATTCGTCCAAAAACAATAGCTTCACGGATGGAGGGCGGGACGTTGTCAACATGTGGCTCTGGCCTGAGCGCCGCGCAAAGCCGTTATGTAGCATTGCAAAAGCTTCACGGATAGAGGGCGGGTCGTTTTCAAAATGTGGCGTTCGCCTGCAATATGTCGGACTCTCAGGGCGCAACACTTCGGTGATTCGCGGCGTTGCCAGGCACAACGATCTGGCACGATTCAGTGATTGCGGCGTTGACAGTAACGGTGATTTGCGGCGTTGGAGTCCATGAAGTCCTGGCAAAATTCGCTCGTGGTTTTCAACTGGTTGTCGGCCAACGGAGTATTTCCCTCAATGAAGATGAACCATTGTATGGGGCATGAGTTTTGGGTGCGCAATGGTCCTCCTCATCGTCCTCCTCCTCCTCCTCCATTCCTTTCTTTAGAAATAACTGCTGCCAGTCGCACCCCGAAGCCAAGTTTTAGGGCGGCCAGGCGTTTCGCCTGAGACTTCGCCACCCTTTAGAACTTTGACGCAACAAAAAAAATGACAACAGTTTCTCACATAAGCGCCGCGCACATTCGTTTTTACAGTGTGCAAGGGCTTCACGGACTGAAGGCGGGTCGTTTTCAAAATGTGGCTCTCGCCTTAGCGCCGTGCGCATCCGTTTTGAAACTTTGAAGGAACTTCACGGATTGAGGGCGGGCTGTGTTCAAAATGTGGTTCTCGCCTTCGCGCCGCGCGCATTTGGTTTCAACATTTGCAAGAGTTTCTAATCAACGTACCAGAAATTATGTTTTGGAGCGATTCAGGATGCGGGTGCAACAATTACGTTGATTCGCGGTGTTGGAGTTCCGACAAAGGCGTTCTGGCACGATTCCGGATCGTCAGAACGCAGCAATCAGGTTGATCCGTGGCGTTTACATCCCGAGAACCATGTTTTGGCATGCTTCAGGGTGTTCAAACGGTTGTCTCCAAACGAGGCAGCTCCCGCAATGGAAATGAATCGTTGTAGGGGCCTGTGAAGAGGGAGCTCGGAGGGATGGTTAATTCCAACATGGTTGATGACTCTTGGGTTTACAGTGGTCCTCCTCTTCCTCCTCCTCCTCCGCCTCCCCATCATCACAGACATCATCACCATCATCAGCATCATTATCATCATCATCATCATCATCATCATCATCATCATCATCATCATCATCATCATCATCATCATCATCATCATCATCATCATCATCATCATCATCATCATCATCATCTTCCTGCTCCTCTTCCTCATCGTCATCATTATCAGCATGGCCATTATTACCGTCGCCATGTATTCATCCTTACGCAGCATCACTTATCACGATCCGCGCGACGCTATTCATGTGGAGATTGGGAGATCAGAGAGAAAGCGTTTCACGGGCGCCTGCCTGGGGAACATTCGGCGGCGCGTTTCGAACTGGGGGGTGGCCCCCCCCACCCAACACTCTGCGCCGTCGATCAAAACCAGGGGGTCTGCGGCCGCCAGCAGCGCCCACGGCGGGGACGCAACGACGATTACCAGAGGCAGCCCAAAGGGGGGGGGGAGGGGTTCAACCCCCCCCCCGTGGCGCCAGAAGGGGGGGGGGTTCAAACCCCCCCCTCCCGCTCGCGCCGGCGCTGGCGCTGGCGGCGGCCAGCAGTGCCGGCGCTGGCGCCGGTGGCGGCGGGGACGCAGCGACATTTATCACCACCACCACCACCACTACCACCACCACCGCCTCAACCCACCACCACCACCAACAGCAGCACACAACCACCACCACCACCACCACAGCCACCACCACCACCACAACCACCACCACAACTCACCATCACCACCACCACCACCACCACAACCACCACCACCACCACCACCACCACCACCACCACCACACTCTACCACACCACCACCACCAGGGCCACAACCACCACCACTACCAGCAGCACAACCCACCACCACCACAA